GCTCGCGCGTATGTTCATGCTGTTCGAGGACTGCCTCCTTTGGCCTGATGATCGCATCCTCAGCGAGCTCGTCAGATTACCTAAGCCAGAAGGAGGGCACCGACTGATTGTGCTCAGCTCCACGGTCATACGGGTCTGGGCAAAGGCGCGGCAGCCCCTTTCAGCGGAGTGGCGGGCGAGGCATCCCTGCGAGGAAATGTGGGGGACCAGAGGGGGCCAGACCTCTTCGGACTCTGCATTCCCCCACAACCTTGAGCAAAAGGTTGGCGACCTCCTCGGCGAGCGCACTGCGGCCATCCTGCTGGACATGAGCAAATGCTTCGAGATGGTCAAGCACGACTCCCTTCTCTTGGGGGCGCGCGAGATGGGCTACCCCCTCCGCCTGGCCTGGATGCTGATCCAGCTGTACCGACAGCCACGGTGCATCAGGGCCAATGGGAGCTGGTCCCGACCTTACTCTGCCAGGCAGGGCATCATTGCAGGCTGTTCGCATGCCACCTACCTGCTCTACCTCCTGATGTACCGTACCGTTAAGCGGGCTGCCGCCATTGGTCCAACCATACGGCCCAGAGCCTTGGTGGGCGATGTCGGCCTTCAGATGGTCAGCTCCGATCCAATGGACTTGCTCACCCTGGGCAGCGCTGCCTCCTCGGTTGCCGCTTGGGCGTTGGAACGTGGCCTCATTCTGAACACCAAGAAGTCGGCGGTGGTCGTGGGATCGGTTCGAACCCGACTCGAGCTGGACCGCCTCCTGCGGCGCAAGGAGTGGGGGCGTACTGCGGGCACGATCCACGGACGCAGTCAGGAGTTTCCCTCGCGCCAGCCATATGCGCAACCTAGGGCACGAGCTGCATGGGCCCAAGGTTCGTCGCACTGTGGCCAAGGCGCGCATGGCCAAGCTACGTGGACGACGTCACCGTTTCCGTTTCCTACAACGTGCGGTGGGTAGGCGCACTACTACTCTGTGGCGCACTGGTGCTATGCCTGCCTCGGCCCACGGGGCTGGAGTTTCAGGGGTTACCGATGATTGCCTTCGCGAGGTGCGTAGGTTCGCGGCTATTCTCAACGGGGCCCCTGGCACCTCCAACGTCGGCCTCACCAGCTACCTGATGACTCGCTGGGCTGGGCAGTACGACCCTATCTTCGGTGCGACTGTCGACCTTGTGATGCGGTACGCAGGCTGGGTTTGGGATGCTCGAATCCCTCTGGGCCGACCCTGTCGTGCCTGGCAAGCGCCACAGCACCTCGGTCCCACCAGATGGGATCAGGCGCGGGGCCTCCTCGGCGCTACTCTTCTTACTCTACGGCGCATTGGATGGGACATGGTCTTTTCCCAGACTCTCCGCGATGATCTGGGACGCCACTACGATCTTATTCATGTGTGCCCCGCCGACCTCAAGCCTTACCTGCTTGAAGGCATCCAGCGCTGGCAGCATGAGCGGCTTCAGCGACACTGGTACACCAGCACGGGTGCGCGGTTGTGGCACAGTGTCATGCGCTATGCCATCAAGGGCATCCGCCACCCTCGTCGGCTTGGAGCCCTACAGGCCCATTGGGCCGACAACATTCCCATCCCAATACGTCGCGACATGAAGCTTAACCAGCCCATGAGGCCGTGTCGCGCATGTGGCGCTCAGTTGGATAGGCACACGTGCTGGGGCCATGTCTTCTACGACTGTCCTGGCCTCTTGGCCGAATGCGATGGGGTGTCAGACACCGCCATGCCATCAGTGGACACAGCCATGCCGCGACACGGACAGACGCCATTGGCAGGCGATGGGACGTCAATCGTACCCACGCATTCAGGCAACACCAGTCAGGTCTGTGATGAAGGAGTCCCTGAAGCTCCCCATCATGCTGTTCACTCTCTGCCGGCCGGTGTGGTACCAGCTCAGGCGCGGCGCGCAGTCCTGACGCCATGGAGGAGGAGTCGTTCTTCCCTGCGGGTGGTGATGCACCCGATGACGCCATGGATGACGAGCCTCCCCAGGAACCTGGCGACGATGTGAGCATGCAGGATTTTGGGCTGGACTCTGCACCTGCGACTGGCACCCTGAGTGTCGGCGCCACGATTCGCTCGAAGGACCATGCGTTTCTTGCCATCCCTCTGCGGTTGCTGGAGGTGCGTGAGCATCTCTGCGCAGCAGGGCTGGGCAGTGGAACTCCCAACTACGAGCAGACGTACCTCGTTTACGGGGCACCCGAACCCCCTGCTTACTTGCCGTCCATGGGCACCGTTGGCAACGAGGTTCTTCACTGGGGCGATACTCAAGGTACTTGGGGACCCACCTCCTACACGGATGGCTAGGACTCGAACATGCCAGAAATTCGTCGATGTGGTCAAGCCGTTGTCCAGCTGGACCCTTATAGCTGGATGCCCATTCGGGCCGTGTGCGGCCCTCTCCCGTACATCGTTCAGACGGTGGGGCGTGCTGAACGGCTTGCCATTAAGATGGGACTCGACATTCATCCCGAACATCGAGAGTTCGTCACGGACCTC